CTCCCCCGCCCACACGCCCTCACGAACCCTTGATAAGTTCTAGATTATTTTTTCTATATCTTGCATCATCCTCAGTCACCTCTCCCCAACTTTTCCATGATTCGTCCCCCTGGGAGGGGGTTCTATTAAATTCTTATTGTAGTTTAGGTGACAGTTTACAGAGCAAATTAGTTTTTTCAGTCAACAACTTGTACACAATTTTTTGTGGCATAGGTTGCAGTCACCTCAAAGTAATAGCACTCTTCCCACGTCCTCCCTGCATTTCCATTTTTAATTGCCCTTCTCTTCTGCCTCTTGCTGCCCTTTGAGCTTCGTTTGGGGGCCAATCCTACCCCTTTGGTCTTAGATAGTTGATTTACTCAGGAGTACATTCCTCCCTGGTGTTATTCATGACTTTATAGTTCTGTCTTTTGTTTGGCTGAAAATGTACCCTCAGGGGTAGGTTCACTTCCAGATGTGAATTTTGTCTAAGATCACAGTCTTGGCAGTTCCAGCAGTCGGTATCAGACCAGTAACTGGTCTTTTTTACTATTTTGACTTTTGGTGTATATTTTCTTCCTCTAGGTCAGGATCGTCTACTGTGGTCCTGATGAGAGTGCTAGGTAGTGGGAGCTGGGCCTCCTCAGTTCTGCTGCTCTCGGGGCTATCATGTGCTTGGTCCCTTCATCCCTAGATTAATTGTTTTCTTGAGTCATTGATTTTGGGTCTCACTGTTCTTTGCTTGAGGACCAACAAATAGTTTCATCTAAGAAGACTGTTCCTAAGTTTCATTGCTACTCACCAAAGCAGTACACAGAACATTGCCTTTGTGTATTATATTAAGCCAATAAGATCTAAATATTCCCTAAGACTTTGGGCCCAAATTTCAAATCCAGTAACTCATTTTCCAATGTGTTTGCCTATTAATAGAAAGTTTTTAGACCTTTTCCTTCCTTGTCTGGGAGTTTTGAAGTCCTGCTGTCCAGATTCATCTAGGCCAGTACCTGGTCTAAAGCTCCCAGGTGAACACTGTTCTAAAGAATGCACATAGATAACTAACACTATTCTAAAAAAGAGTTAAGAAAAGATATCACCACATCTTCTACACCTGCCACACGGCACTGCCAACTTCCATATAGAAATTAGGCATTGAGTCACCAGGCTGGCAAAATGTCTTACTCTGATCAGGGCTTCTTTAGCCAGCTTGAATCACACAATGCTTCTATTGCCTGGTCAAAGGAGGGAATTGGCTCATGTTGGAGTTGATACAGTAGCAATAGCTAAGAACCTAAAGTAGAAATAACCCTTCAAATGAACATCAGATGCCCAATCACGAGCATCACTCAGCAGGGAAGGCTTACAATGATCTACTTCCAGCAGGAAAATAATAAGACAGCCAAGTGGTTATAGAAAATAGTACTTATGCATTATCAAACCATCCAGACAAGGCACAGACAAATCATCTACTGTGATGGGCCAAGGACTTGAAAGGCAGAATAAAACCACCAACATTTTTTTTATAATAAATCATTTTCTTGGAGGCTCATACCACTCTTGTCACAATCCGTACATACATCCATTGAACCACCAACATTTAAAAGTGGTGAACAACATGGCAACTTACAAAGTAAATCTTAGAATACTAAACCTTACATGATGAAAACTGTGATTTTTGAGTATTAAGCAGAATCCCTGCTTGGTATAAAATAAGAAAATTAAATTCAGGAACAGTAATTCTATCACTAGATTCCAACAAGGCTAATGAAACCCTCACAGCTGGAACTCGACAAGGATTCTAGGCATGCGATGCCTCCTGCCCATGAGCTGCTTCCAGAATAGAGTCATGGACATAGTGAATGTGGTTGCTTCCAAACACCGCATACACTCGAGGATCAGCCGACCCGAAAATCAGCCTAGGCACCTCATTTTACCACAAAAACGGCATTAAAAAAACGTGCTGAAAAACTTGGCTTATACTCAAGTATATACGGTAAGTTTCCACTGTACAGAGTTGGAGGACAGTGAGTTTGTGGCCCAAAAGTGTGCCATATATATCCAAAGAGCAGGATCTGAAACATTAGTAACACAGGGTACCTTTCACTACACTCTCCAAACACTTTCAATATGTCCTCCATTTACCCTCAGAAGAATCCCTCGTACTGAGAGGTTCCAGTACCCCCACCCTGTCTGGGGACAAGAGGTGGGGCCAGTCTCCTGACTTTTGAATCTTTGCTCATAGATCAGGACAACGGCCACCATGAAGATAGACTTGGACCAGAGTTCAAGTCTACCACAGTGAGAGGAGAGGACCGACTGGGCTGTTCAGGCCTCCTCTGCAGGCGGTCAGATCTGCGTGCTGATCTTTCCTCATCCCTTCCCCATACTCCAGCTTCTACTTTCTCCATGACTTTTCAATCTCCTGCTGCCAAATGCGTTCTTCCCAGGATTCTTTTGAGCCAGAAGTACCTCCCTAGGGTAATTTTGAAAATACTTGTATCATAAGTCTCAGGGCCCAAGCAGTCTCTACACTTTATCTAATTCCCAAAT